AACAAATTGAAAATAATAATAATAAAAATAAAACAAACTAAGAAATGATATTTTAATAAACATGTAATACTACCTTTCTTCCTTGAGTTAGGTGGAGCTTAGGGTACTCCTTCAACACTGTTTTAACTTGATCAGCCAACGGGCTCCATCTCTATTTGTAGACAAAAAGAAACATACTCGTAAATACTCCAAATATAAAGATAGTACTTTTTTTATTTATAGAAAAATATGTTTAGATATTTACCCTTTCATCGACACAGCGAAAGTGAACTGATAGGCAAAATTTATTGTTCTCAACTCTGGCTCCAGGAGTCGATTTGGTTTTCTCTACTAGTTTATTGTACACCTAAATTGAAAAAAAAAGATAATAAAACAATTGGTTGATATTTTCATGTGTTACTGAAGTAATTATAAAATAGGATCAAATGATAATCTAGGAGTTGAGAGCAACCTCATGTATCATTGGTAAGAACTCACTGGCTGGCTGAAATAGAACTGGTCTAGCCTAAAAAAAAAGAACCATAGAAAAGAAGACATTTAGTACAAAAACATTATATTTTTAATGAAATGCAAGAAAAAATCTATATTTGATCATGAACAAGAATGGAGAGAGTACATACCTGAGCCTTTGTATGTTTAGAGACTTTGTTTGGCCCTTTAATGTCCATCCCGTGACTTCCAGCGTAGAACAACTCTCCCAACTTCACAAAATTATACACCTGCACAAAACATAAATGAAAATTAATGCAATGAAATATCGTAACGTTTAAGGACTTATATGCAAAAAAGTATCATTATGAAATGTACCTTGTCTCTACACCTCCCGCTCACAATGGCGGTAGGAAAGAACCTTGCTACATCCTTCACTGCAGCCCTCATCTGCAAAAACCCATTTCACAATTTCAACCTCTTGCATGGTTTCAAAAATTTCAGACAATTAATTAACCTCGAGAAGCAGAGGGAAAACAGAGCAAGGGCCTGGGTTGGTTTTTATAGAAGTTCAAGCTCACCGAGTCAGACATGAAGGCTCGGTCTGGATCCTGAACTATTGGCGACAGAGTCCCATCGTAATCCAAGAACAACGCAATCTGTTTCCCTTTCGATAACTCCATTATCTCCTCAAAGCTTGCGAGCGCTGAGGGGTGTTGCCTCTGTTCACAAAACTCCCATCAATTTCCAAGCAGGACAAGTTTTTCTTTTCTTTTTTTTTTGTCGTTTTTATTTTATATAAACGGAAAGCGACCCGGCCAGTCGATAAATAGTGGATTAAATATCCTCGGTCAGAAGATTATTCTCTTCACCGTAGCTAAGTCCTATTGGTGGTTTTAAATTACATATTCTTCTGTTTTCTAACAATAAAAAAAATAAAAATAAAGAAAGGAAATGAAGAAATTAGTTTGCTCACCATCCAATAACCGTACTCATCATCGTGAGCAACCATTGAAGCAGCAGAACTCAGCAGAGCAGAG